TTGGGGCAGTGCGGGCTTCCTCCCCGCCACGGGAGCTCTGGGCTGCCAGCAGGGAGCGATCGGACTGCTCCATCGGTGAGCACCGTGTAAACACCCCGTTGTTTCTGCCTCCTTCCTCCTCGCCACCTCGGTGCAAGGGGTAGAGGCAAGTGGTTAGGAAGTGCGGGGCCTTGATCTTTCTGACTGGAGTTGCCAGACGCTGCGGCTCTCCCCTGCTCCGCATGTGTTCTCCAGCGACTGGGCTGCCAGCAGGGAGCGATCGGACTGCTCCATCGGTGAGCACCGTGTAAACACCCCGTTGTTTCTGCCTCCTTCCTCCTCGCCACCTCGGTGCAAGGGGTAGAGGCAAGTGGTTAGGAAGTGCGGGGCCTTGATCTTTCTGACTGGAGTTGCCAGACGCTGCGGCTCTCCCCTGCTCCGCATGTGTTCTCCAGCGAGGCTTGTGTTTGTCGCTGCTGCTTGGAGTAAGAAACGGCTCCTCCTCGAAAACCAAGTCAGTGCAGCCGCTCCAGGCGGTTGAATTCCGGTTTACCCTGGGTATTGTCAGCCCCTCTGTCCAGCTGCATTGTGATGGCAGACGCTTGGCTGCCTCTCCAACATCAGTGGTGGCCACACTGGACTGAAGAGGAAGTGATTGCCTTGTGTGTTTCTCCAAGTTCATAGCTGGGATTTCAGCTGAGAAATCAGATTTTTGACCTGTGCGCGCTTGGACGTCGGGAGAATAGAAATGGACCAAGACTCCATTTGTACTGAGTCATTTTTCTAACCATACTCGGGCGTGAAAGCACAGGGTGTAGTTTAAGAGCTGATCCTTTGAGGCGCTGACCTGCTTGAACATCAATCCCTTCTGGCTTCAGTGGAAGGAGTTTAGCACATTGTAGAGTCAATTCCTCAATTTACTAATAGTAGTAGTTTGCTACAGAAAGATCATCTCTGTTCAGAGGCATACAGCTTCTGTAGGCTGCGTAATGTAGCGTTCTGTCCGCTAGATCATAAACTCTATGTACCATAAAAGGAGAAATAAATGCCCATCTCTGTATCTTTATGTGAGCATTAGATCAGTGATTCTCAGCCTTTTCTTGTACTAGGACCCATTTGTAAACATTGATAGCCAGTCCCAACCTAGTAAATAGTTTAAGTAGAAAACAGCCCCTTGGTCCTGCCGGTGCCCCCCCACCCACAGACTCCTATGTGTGGGTGGGACAAAAGTGTGTGTGTGTGGGACACAGGGGCCCCAACAGCCCCTTGTAGCCCCACAGTTTCCCACGTTTTTCTCCTTTAAAGGAGAACTCATTTTTAAAGTTTTTTGATCCATTTTTAAAGTTTGTTTGCCGCCCTTTCATATATTCTTGCAACCCACTTTTGGGTCACAACCCACGGGTTGAGAAGCGCTGCTCTAGAATGTATATGATATGGGCACATGTAAAATCAGCTGTGTGAGCAATAGCTAAATTTACAAATATGTGCACACCCACATATAGTAGGTGAGAATTAAGCCCTGTGGTTATTACAAATAATACAAAAAGTAATCAGTTGCTTTCTCGTGACCTGTGGTTCATTGGAACATCAGAATTTTAAAATGCTGGAGATTACAAAAAAACCCTTCTGCTATGTTATACCTACCAACTTCAAATTTACATTAGTGTGAGGTGGTTACTGCCCGTATTACATTTAGAAGACCGGTACAGGACCTTGCCAGCTGCACTGATTCTGAAGTGAGTAGGCTTGCTTATGGAAGAAGGCTGTGCTTAATATGAGCAAGAGAGGCAGGATTAGGCCCATATTTAGTTTTTCCTATTGATATCATGTTTAGTTGGCATATCAGTAAATGAAAGGCAGGGTAGATGTGCACCTCAGACTAACCAGAGTAGATGCATAGCACAAACTTCCATGCGCTGAAGCTCATTTCATCAGAAGCTTTCCTGATAGAGGAGAGAGAAAACTGACTGGTAATATCAGAAATACTTTCCCTTCAGGAGATTTAAAAACTTAATTTAGTGGGAATGATTGGTATAGTAATGCTTTATAGCTAAAAGTGGAACAAACTGTCCTGTGAATAATAGTTGTTTTACAACTTGCTTGTTAGGTGACAATTTCTAACTAATGAAACAGTTAGCTCTAACCCAGTTTGAGAGCTCTGTCATAGTTTTGGGATTAATTTAGATGTGTTTATGCATTCGAAGGAGAAGTGCACTAAACTTCAGTGTTGTTTCTCATGCTTGTTCTCAGTAGTGAGGGGTCTGTCCCACATTCTGAGGTAAATCTCAGCACATGAATAAATGCTGTAATTTCTAACAAATTTACGTTAAACCTGGAGGGAAATTTGTAGTTATGCAATCAGCATTTATCAACCATTTGCTTAAGTGATGGAATTAATTGGATTACATCACAGAAAAATATCCTTAGTTTGAACAATTAAACATCAAATGTTCAAACTAAATGCATATAAGAGTATTTGGATCCCAACACAATGGAGCCCTGAGGAGCTGGTATCATATTAAAGGAATAAGGAATCGGCACCTCTATTACGTCAGATGATAGATGGGTACTGACTGTCAGCTTTGAGTAGAAGTTTAAAGAAAAGCCAGTAAATGGAGAGCCTGGATAAATGAAACGGATCTAACAAAAACAAAGAGTCTGATCACCCTTTCCACAAAATTGCGGGTTCTGTACAGTCTCAGACATACGCTGTTGTAGCAGTACTTTCCAGAGTTTCTACAAGACTGTAACCAGTCTTACAAACAGCAAACTTTTCTTGGTTTTGGATTGCATTGGTAACAGTTCTAAAATAAATCTCCAAGCCTACATTTTATTCTGCACAACACAACTTTGAACAGAGACTTACAGTTGCTTAATCAAAGATTAGAGATAGCAGTGCCTTAATGTAGAGGCCGCTATAGTTTATTTTCTGTAGATAGGCCAGATTGCTGCTGTCCATTATCATGACTGTTTTTGTTTTTTGCTTTTTCTTCTTTTAGAAGCGTTCCTACTAGCTTTCCTTATACTTGGGTTGTTTAACATTTCTTACAGCTACTTTGGAAGAACTCTTGAATCTGCATTGCTTGCAGCAGATTTTGATAGTTTTTCAAGGAAATAGTCTTCAGACTACAGAAGTACTTTTCCTTTGTTGCACAAAATTTCATTCATTGTTTACTAAGTTACAAATTTGAGGGAGCTTGTAAATTGCTGTTTTCCTTTTCTCACTTCTCTTCCTCAGATCCTTTACTCCTGTTTGTGGGGGAAGGAGCTGGGCTGAGTTTGCTCAGTTTTTCTCACCCAGACCACACTCAGTGCCCTGGCTCCAATAATATATCCCTCCTTTTGGGGACACCACATAAGACGCGACTTTCCTCCAACCAAAGCTTATGGGGAGACAATGGGAGTACAGACCCCCAAGCTGGGCGAGGAGGGTGGGGTGGGATCAGGTTACCCCTATTTCCTGTTTTCAAAATGAAGAGGGAGCCCTAGCAGGATGTACCAGCCTCACAAAATTTCTTTCATAGGTCCCGCTTCGAACTTTTGTGATCGGTGACAGGCAGACAGTTTGTGTTCCTTCTGCCCCTCATTCTTCTCCTCTGATCAGTCCTTAAGGGACCAGTGGTCCATCTGTACCCCAGCTGGAACTGGGAGAAGGTTATCATCTTGGTGTAAAGAATCAGTTGTTTTAAGTGGTAAAAATTTATGCTGTAAAGCTGACATTTGTGGTTAAAAGTCAATTGATGGTGCACGAAAAAGTATTTGTAATAGTTGCAGTAATAGAACTTGTTTTAATTTTTACCTTTGAAAAAATACTTGTAAAAAACGTTTGAAAGAACAATATTAAGGTGGCAAAGTTAAGAACTCACTTTTTATGGTTGACAAGGATCGATGGATAAATGCCTATATTTAACCAGGGGTAGAGGGTGGAAATTATTGACATATTGCCAATTATAATATAGGGTACTTTATTTGTATAATTTTCCATATATTCTTTTTTTTTTAATCATACTTTGATTTCATGCTTATCCAAAGCCTAGTCCATTATGGGGCCTACAAGAGCAAATACTAAAAAAATAAGTGGGACAAAGTATTATAATAAGTTTTTCCTTTTTATATTTTATTCAGTTGATGTGGTGCTATTGCAAACAATAAATCAGGAGTTCTTGCCACAAAATATAGGTCTTGTGTGCCAGAAAGTAGCGTGGCCCTTAGTCTAACCCAGTTGGTATGTGTGCTACAGAAATATTTGAGCTGTACGTTAGGGTGTATTTGAGAAGACTGTCTCTGGTAGCAGACATGCGATTCATCAAAGGATAAAACCTGGCTCCCTTCAAAAGCTGACTATCAAGGATTGCTCCCCGCTTGTAACCATCTTCTTGGATTATGTAGATGGCCTCTAGGGGCACGTCCAGACGAGCGTGCAAGTGCCTGTTGCAACGTCTCAAAGCCCTTTGAGATGCTGCAAGAGGCACGTATTGGAAGCAAAAAAATGTTCCCTGTGTTTGCAGCGTGGGGGAAAAATGAAATCCCTGGATATCCAGGAGTCAAAAAATACCCTGGGCAAAAAAAGCGGGACAGGCAACCAGAGGGTTGGGTCCTCCACAGAAATGCTGTGGTAGCTAGCCACAGCGTTTCTATGGCTGGCCCTCGCCTTGGTTCTGAAGCATGCTGACTGCCCATGCAGGGACCTGGACCCGGGCTCCGTGCCGGTAAGTAGGGGATGAGGGAGGGCTGGAGAAGGGAGGAAGTGACTATGCGGGGAGTCCCGCTGGCCCCATCCCCTACCTGCTCCCGGAGCCCCTCAGATCGCTGCCCTGCCCAGCCCCATCCCCTGCCCACTCTCCCAGCCCCTGCAATGGCTGCCCTGCCTGGCCTCATCCCCCACCCAATCCCCAAGCCCCTGCTGATTGCTGCACCACCCACCCCAGCATCCCCTCACTTAACAAAACAAAAAAAAAAATGCCCTGCATTCACCAGCAGTAGCAGTAGCTGTAGGGGCTCTGGAGCCATGTGGTAGTGTGTGTCCCCATCCCCCAGCTCCTTCTTTCTATCGCCCCTCTTTCTGGCTCCGCCCCTGATGGACTCCCTCCTTCCCTGCCCCCCAAATGTTTATGGCAGCCTAATTTTCAAACAGACGTATGTTCTAGCCCCTTGTCATGCCCTAAGCATTCAAACATATTGCAGAGACTAAATGTAGCCATAGTTTGTGACATTTTAAATGGAAGGATCTCTGCTTATTGCACACCACAGGAATCCTCTGTGCGGGGACTCCCATGGTACATGTATCAGGTTCCTG